GCGCCGAATCCTATTAGATTGGGAGGCATAGGCGGAATAATACCTTTGTTACCCGTGTTTTCTGGAGAGGCAGGAGGCCCCAGAGTAACCGATTTTTTTGATTTTTTGGCGGACGCTACCAAAGTAGCCGCCTGGTCAAAGGCACAGATGCTAGTGGTGTCAAAGTTAAAACTCACGGGAATAGCACGTAAATTTGTAAGGGAAAATCATCGGATTAAAGCAGTAAATGAATTCGATGAATTCAAACGCCTAATGATAGAGCGCTTTGACCGCGAACCCTTTCCCTTTCGACTAAGTAAATTTTATACATGCGTTCAGCAAAGGGAGGAAGATGTGCAGGCGTATGCCGCTCATCTTCAGTCGTTAGCAATGGAGAAAATGATCACGCCGGAGCCGGAAACTGCTATCATTCATAGAGTTCAAACTAAAGAATTGACCGATTAAAGGCCCAATTTTTAAATGGAATCGATATACGTTAAAGGCAACGAACCATGTCCCGGGAGCCTGCTACTTTTGACGAGGCGCTAAAAGCCGCTATTAGCGAAGATATGATAGAGAATTTTAACGCACGTCTTCTCGAGAGCATACGAACAGTTAGGGAAGGAGAAAGATCGACAGATGCCTCACCCTCATTAGACGATCTACAGCAACTAACCTCAGAAATGGAGGAGCTTAAAGTTCGAATGGATAGTTTAACCAGAGCCCCCTCTCGAAACGACTCTAGGAACTCTTCATCTAGAAGAAATGAGAAAAGAAACTATAATAACAGAAACTGTAACAATCTACCATTTAGGCGTAGCGAATATCGTCCAATTACTTTTAATCTTCAATCTGATAACCCGAATAATCGATCTAACCTAAACCGGACCCAGAACTCGCCTGATCGCCGAGAAAATAATAACAACGATCGAGGCGCACGTCAACGAAACGACTTTCCCGGCGAAGCGACGCAACACCTGACCAATGCCGGACCCGTTTCCGATCGCAATCTTCGGAAACGACGCAAACCCATTGGGAAAAAATGTGCGAAGCGTCGAAATTCGACGACACTGTCACGATCCTAGAAGTTGTGCCACCGTACCTTACTCTATTCGCAAGCCGAAGCGAAGATTCCCTATAGATCAACAGCGGCAAATCTATAAATTATCTCACGAACAAAATCGAAAAGCTTTCCCTATATCAACTACTAAATATACAACATCGCCAACTGAGGCTACATTTGATTATTATATCGGAGGAAACAGTACAGAGGAGAACGAGACAAAGTGGAAAGGCAGAATATTATATTTGTCTGCCAAAAATATTAACGTCTGGTCCCGAGTTAGCTCGGGAAAGTCACACAGCGTTACAGAAAATGCGGTCCTTTCGGTCCCCCAATTTTTTTTTTTGATTTTTGGAATGTTTTTCAAGTCTCCAAATTTCTTCAAAAATTTTTACCCGCGCAAAAAAATTTTATCGCGATTTTAATGAACCTTTAATGATGCGCGATTAACGCTTAATTGTTTTTTATTTATTTTTTAAATGAGAATTAATTAATCGTTTTAAAGTTGTAGTTCACGGATTTAACTACGGTAAAGTTATTTAAATCGACTTTTCAATGTCAGAAACGACCTCCAATAGTTTCTAATTTTTTAAAGTAATATATTTTATTATATATAAGTTTAATTAAGTCGGGGGTTCGGAAATTGCAATAAATATTTCAATTTTTTAAAAATATTTAGAAATATTGCTCTAGCTAGTATTCACTCTACTTTAAACTCTTTTTTTCCCGAGACGTCTAGAGAATGTTCCGGGAAATACGACACCAGCTGTTCTCAAGGTCATCCAGCTGTGTAAACAATGACTCATTTGTGTCAAATTTCATAGAAAAGCGAGACAATGAAAAATAAAGTTTGAAGCTTTTTCTTCAAAATTAACGCATTTCTTTCGTTTTATTCAGTTTAAAGTATCTTTTATGTTTAATTAAAAATTTTTTTAAAAACATTTGTACGGCAAGTGGTTAATAATATTCCCATTAAAACGCAAGTTGACCCTTAGAGTGGAACATACTGTACGTTCATATCAAATGACCTAGCAAACAGATTGAAGGGGAAAGCCAATGTCAAATTTGGATTTAGACAAAAATTAGGAACCAACCCATATAAAATTTATGCAACCTATAATACAGTAGGATAACACGGACAGGACCGCAGAGCCACACACCGAACCGCTGGAAGAAGACGCTTCAACGGCTGCTCCACAACCGAGTACTTATACTGAGCGTGAGGAGGACTTCACCTTCACCTCCATACTGCCTTCCTTCCCGGAAGAATAAACAGAATCAGACAATGCCCTATAACCACAGAAACATACACATGGCTTATATAGACTACAGAAAAGCATTCGACAGTGTTCCACACAGTTGGCTGCTACATATTCTACGCATGTACAAAATACATCCATCACTTATTGCATTCTTTGGAAACACTATGCAGCACTGGAGAACAACACTACATCTCAGGGTTAGTAACACTTTCATACAAACAAACGAAATATTCATTAGGCGAGGAATCTTTCAAGCAGATTCCTTGAGTCCTCTCTGGTTCTGCCTAGCCGTGAATCCATTATCCAACATGATAAACAACACGCATTATGGCTACAATATCAGACATGAAAAAACAACACAGTTTACACTGTCACATCTCATGTACATGGACGACATAAAACTTTATGCATCCACACAAAAACAACTTCATCAACTCCTACAAATCACACATTCATACACTAAGGACATACAAATGGAGTTTGGCCTAGACAAATGCAAAAAACTTCACATAGAAAAAGGAATCCTGAAGAAAGAAGATTTTGCACTTGGAAATGGAGACGTTATTGAATCCATGGAAGAGGGCGAGTTCTACAAGTACTTAGGATTCCAACAGGCCAAACTAACAGAACATACACAAATAAAGCAACGATTAATTAAAGAATACCAAAGTAGGTTAAACGCTATACTTAGAACACAGTTAAATGCAAAACACACAGTTAAAGCAATAAACACATATGTCATCCCAGTACTCACATACTCTTTTGGAGTTATACATTGGACTCACACAGATCTCGAGCAACTCCAAAGGAAAACAAGAACAACACTTACTAAGCATAAACAACATCATCCTAAATCCGCCACAGAAAGATTAACCCTTCCACGTAAAGAAGGCGGACGTGGCCTGATTGACATAGTTAACCTTCACTACAAACAAATACAGTCACTGCGAGAGTTTTTCTACAAGAAACAAGAAACATCACAGTTACATAAAGCAGTAACTCTAGCAGACTCAAATAACACACCATTAAACTTACACTCACAACATACAGACATGACACAACATATAAAAAGCATAGACAACATTAAGCAATCATGGGCTCAAAAGGCTCTCCATGGCAGGCATCCTTACGACCTGGCCCAGGATTTTGTTGACAAAACTGCGTCAAACAGCTGGTTAGATCGGGGATGCCTCTTTGGGGAGACGGAAGGATTCATGATTGCCATACAGGATCAGGTCATAAATACTAAAAACTACAGAAAACACATACTCAAAGATACAACACTCACAAATGACACATGCAGAAAATGTCACATCATGCCAGAAACTATACAACACATCACTTCTGGTTGCAAGCTCTTGGCACAGACAGATTACTTACATAGACACAATCAAGTAGCAAATATAATACACCAAGAGCTTGCAAAGAAACACAAATTGGCAGACATCCACGAACCATACTACAAGTATATTCCACAGACAGTATTGGAAAATAACACGCACAAAATGTATTACGACAGAGCCATAATCACAGATAAAACAATTTACCACAACAGACCAGACATCACACTCATTGACAAACACAATAAAATCACATACATTATAGACATAGCCATTCCAAACACTCACAATGTACAAAACACATGCACTGAAAAAATTAGCAAGTACACAGAACTTGCCCAGGAAATAAGGCATCTATGGAGGATGGATAGGGTAGTTATTGTACCTGTTGTTCTCTCCTGTACAGGTGTGATACCACACACACTACACAAAAGCCTGGGAACATTAGAATTGAGTAGAAATACATACATAACACTACAGAAGGCCACTATATTGAATACATGCCACATTGTTAGGAAATTGCTGAATACAGACACTGACACACTTAGTTAATTTTAGTTTTGTTTTGGTTGCTATGCCTTGACTCTGGTCCGGCATAGTACACAGCCATCGTGTGAACCGAGTAAAACCCACTAAATCCAACACAATAATAATAATAATAATAATCAGCGCAGAGCCCAAACGGTTAAGAGTTGAAAGTTGAAATTTGGTACACAGTTAGGGTACGTTACGAAAACGCACACTGAGAAGGGATTTTTCGAAATTCCTCCCCACGGGGGAAAGCGACAGGATTAAGGCTTAACACTTCCATCAACAATGGAAGTGTTAAGTAACAATAGAAGTTATAAGTAACAATAAAAGTTTTAAGTAACAATGGAAGTGTCAACAATGATAATGTGACGTAACAATGGAATTGTTAAGAGAAAGCGACGTGCAACACGCAGATGCAGTTTTATTCGTTTTTGCGGGAAATCGAACATATTTTTAGACCCATGTAAAAATTTTCTAATTAGTCTGGAAACAAGGGGACCCAATTCTTGCATTCTGTGAAAACGGGTAAGGTTGACTGTAACGTAATAATCTTTATAATAGATATCGTTGCTTTTGCCCGAGCAACGCCGGGCCCACCTGCTAGTATATTATAAAAGTGTTTTATCGTGACATTCTTTCTGTAAATACACAATACTTTCTGTCATTTACGCATTCTTAAGTTCGATTTGTACAATGTACGTATAATGTAAAACATACTCGTGAAAATAAACGATAACTATCTTAAAAGTTTTATCGAATATATTTATATGTGTAATCTTTTCAAATATTTTGTGCCGTACTGTATAATTATAATTAATTAATTACCTGTTGAACTTCAAATGGTATCTGTACAACAGATATTCCGAACAATTTAAAACTGACAATGCCATTAAATTCGTAACAGTGAAGACTTTCTTCAAACATTGGAGAGCGAAACATTTTGATTATAGAATGAAAAAATTTCCACCAATTTTCCGGATGAAGAATAATTTTAGACGATATCCCAAATTTGTGAAGGCAATTCATGTGAGTGAAATCTATTGGATTTTCTATAAGTTCCTACAGTATTTAATGAAAAAAAAACGTAAATAATACATTTATTCATTTGGCATAGTTTTAATCTATTGGCATAGTTATAAATACCTGAATATGGCAATTTACAATGTGTTCACTACGACCTCTAAACAGCATTAGTCGATTTTCTATTTCTGGTATAACTGGAGGTTTCCACAGAGGAGGTTGTCCTTCTGCATGATGCCACACGTAGATGAATCCGTTTTGCTCAATCGTTTCCCAACCTTTTATTTTTGCAACTTCTGGAACTAAATTTAAATACATTGGATAATGGGTGCTTTTTAAATATTACTTCAAAAGAAAAATATATCTTTCCAACAGTAGAAAAATATAAGCGTATGGTGCATTTGCTTTAAGGCAACAATTAAAGTAAAATTAGTTAATCAATAAAAAAAGACACGTGTAAATCGAACTACAATTTTACAATAAACGGAAGAGAATTGCGATAAAATTTAGTATAACGTATAAAAAGCTTAATTATACAATAGAAAAGCATTGCATAAATTATTATAAAAACGGTAAACTTTATTTCTGCTGTAATACATGTGTAAAGGGACTGCCATCAGCAACAATGACGTAGACGATTAAAACTTTAAACGTATAGATTATGTCACATAGTATATCTGGCATATTCGATCTGAATTTCCATCTTAACACTACGCAGCGATGAAATGTACAACAGCCAGCTAACTGCCCAAGGTGATGCTGAAGAGGAGCTACATTAATGTATTTTGGTAATCCTGCAGGAATTAGTTATCGAGATCAAATCAAAAATTAATAGCTTTGGAACAGGGTTTTATTTATATTTCATTGATTATCGAACAGTTGTTTAAGTCATTGACTCACGATTAAATGTGAATCAGCTGTGGAGCTGTAATTTTGGTCGCGAACATGCCACAGTAAACATGTCGCAGTTGCTCATAGTAGCAACTTATACAGCCACTTGCAAACTGTCGAAAATATAAATATCGTAAAAAATATAAGTCACACGTCAAGGTATAAAAAAATTAAAATTATTTTCTTAAAAAAAAGATCAAAATTTCTTCGCAAGATAACAAACCAGTACTTTAACGAAAATCTTTCTTATGTAGAGCGAATTTCGCGCAGATGTAACGCATTTTTAAGTACTACACATTATGTCAGTTCACCATTTTAGAAATAATTGCCTGGTTGATTTATACAATTTTCTTCATTACTTCTTGTGTAACCTAGTGTAAGTTGATCACTTTGTTAACACAATGTAGTATTATATTCTCATATTGTACACAACAGTACATTGTCAGTGCGTGAACGCTACATATTATACCAGTTGCAAATACCAGTTGCATAGCTGCCTGTAATGTATTTGTTTTAATCTATTTGCTATTTCTGTATGTTGTAGTCTTCTTACATAAGTAGAATTAGGTCTACATTGTAAAGCAGTGATAATCAGGCTGAATTTATCTGTGCTATCGATTTTAGTCAAATAACCTGTTACATCGACGTGTGAATTTTGCTGTTTGTGTAGTTATAAAGTGTTTGTAAATTAACGTGCTGCTTCTCGTGAGATTTATTTTCTGTCAAAGATTTTGCAATGTTGTTCCTGCATATATGACAGGGTCAATATCTTATGCAATTTGCAGACTGTTTGATGTGGCCAATTTAATAGTTTACAATGTCTGATTCAATGTGATTTATCATATTAAATGTTACAGTGAATAATGATCTTTGAAAACTGTCTCAATTTAAATGCATTAATTACACAGATAATTTCGTTTAATAAATTAATTTAACCATCATCGTTGATGTGAAACTAAAGCACTTTTTTCATATCTATTCGCAATGCTAAAAGAATCAGTTTTAAGTACGAATCAGCAGTATATATTATTGGTATAGCTGTATTAAATATATATATTTTTAGTAGTTCTTACTTTTTTCGGCGTAAGGTATTTTCACGCAAGAACCATCCTGTCCAGAAAATCGCCATCCGTGGAAAGGACATTCGATGCAATCTTCGTGAACTTTTCCATCCGTTCCTAAATGAGCTCCCAAATGAGGGCAATAAGCATCTAAAACAAAACATGTTCCTGTTTTTCCACGAAATATAACGAATTGCTGACCTGTAAAGTAATTAATAATATTTTTGTCATAAAATTTTTATATTTATTATCATTAATTTACGTACTTTGCGTAAATAAAGATTGGGTATATTTACAATAAATGTATATACTCATTTTTTCACATACCGTTTAATAATTAATTTGTATTTCTATAATTATGTGTAAAATCTTTACAAAAACAATTGTTATTACAGTGAGAACAGATACAAGGTTTCATAGTGAAAAGTTATTACTTATTATTAGTATAATCAAGCATTAAATATCTACAAAATGACAATACAAACTTTACTAATAAATTAATTCAGAATTGATCAATCACACGTTTCAGATTTTATCGTAAATGGATCAATCGAAAAACCAAAACTGTTAAAAGTGGGTGTTAGTTGACTTACCCAGATTTTTCTCGGCGTATCAACGAACGATTTTTTAATATAATTGACTTAATAATATAACTGGTGAATCCTCACTATCTACTATTTGAACAAGAAATTTATTATATTTTTTAGCAAAAATGGACTTAACTAGAATCTATTTAAATTTAAACGGAAAGCACTTCCTAGAACTTTATATTCAATTGAGAACATTTTACGAATAAATTTGTTCTGTATATCTAATTTATGATAATTAGATAAACTCCAATCGATGAAGCATAACTGATTGCGTTCATAATTATAGAATTGAATAGTTTAAACAGCATATATAGTATTACCTTTCAATCTTGTGGAGAACTGCCTAAATTATACAAGTCATTAAAAATCCTTTCCGAATAATTAATAAGAGACGTCGGTAAATTTTTAATTATAAAATAAAAAATTGCATCATGTCCAGGTGCTGTTTTGATTTTCAGATTTTTAATGCACGAGTATAACTTTTCTGTATTGAATATCTCTTTATATGGTTAGCGCTCTAGTTGTTTATTACCAATAGTATCCATTTTATAGTTATTTAAGTAACTAGTAATGATTTATTTTACATTATATCAGTCGGTCTATAACAAGTAACACAAGTAACACATGGTGATGAAGATAAGATAGACCTATCACAATCATGTCACACTAAGTTTCCAATAATTCAAATTGCACTTGGTCCATATTAATGAAGAACGAAATACCGACAAGGGATGTGTATCTGATCCGCTTTTCAGCAAAAACCGTAATATAATTCCAATTAACTTACTAGAGACTTCCATACAAAATTCTGATCCATGGAAACCATTCAGTTCCAATTATATTCGAATAAAAATACTAAAATCGTTATTGAAATGTCGTGAAAAAAGTAAAAATACGTAAAATGTGTGATACTTTTAAGATTATATCACAAAAAATATTGAAAACAAATAACTAATGTGACGTCTGAATATCTTACCTAGGGCAGTAACAGGCTTGCACTTCCCAACAGGTAGATCCCTGGATTCTAATAAAGGTATCCATCCATTTGGATACGCAGGAGGATATTCTTTTGCACTTCGCAATCTATTTGTTTCTTTTAATAACTGCATTCGTTTTCTATGTAATTCCCTTGCATTCATACTTCCATCCTCATAACCGATATCCGTCATGTCCTACATCGATAAATTACCGTTGAAATGTAAGTAATATATTTTAAACAACAAATACCTCTTTAATTATACTTACAACGACTCTATTATAAGTTGATAACGAAAAATACATGACCAGAATAATTAGAAAGAATAAAATCAGTAGATATGGTTTATTTATAATTGTTGTACTGATGCATTGGAACATATCCAGAACCCAGGGACATTTCCATAATTCCTCTGCTACGCTGCCATAAATAAAGGTGAACATATTTGTTTGAATTATACCCTGGAAAATGTCTGAAATAAAAAATTCAATTACATTCTTTAATAATTTATTAGCTTTCATTAATTTAGCACTTATAAACGGTTATTATAACTGTTTATTTTAATAGTTTAGAATTGATGCAGTTTGGATTCACTGTTTCAATAGCAACGATTATTGTCACGTTGACATTTGTTACATAATATCATTTTTTTAATTATTAGCGATCAGAAAAATAATGCTTTATTAAACTAATAGGTATAAATGGAAGTTGATTAATTGTCAATTTTAACGAGTGAAAAAAAAATATTTAGAGAACAAACGCATATACAGTAGAGTGTCGATTTTCCGAAAGTCAATCATCCGAAACGTCAATCATCCGAAAGAATTCCAGTCGGCAAATTTAAATTTTCGCCAGTGCTGTGGCGCTGTAATCTTTGGCTATGTCTTGGGCTACTCAAATATTTTACGTTTTTGATACTAAATTAACATCTAAAGTATAATTTTTTATTATTTTTATATTTTTCAATATATTTATTTTGTTTGTACAAAATAAAAAAATAATTTTTAACGATACAATAGTCTTTGTTAGGCTTAACATCGACGAAAATTCAACGNTAGCTCCAGCTAGTATTCACTCTACTTTAAACTCTTTTTTTCCCGAGACGTCTAGAGAATGTTCCGGGAAATACGACACCAGCTGTTCTCAAGGTCATCCAGCTGTGTAAACAATGACTCATTTGTGTCAAATTTCATAGAAAAGCGAGACAATGAAAAATAAAGTTTGAAGCTTTTTCTTCAAAATTAACGCATTTCTTTCGTTTTATTCAGTTTAAAGTATCTTTTATGTTTAATTAAAAATTTTTTTAAAAACATTTGTACGGCAAGTGGTTAATAATATTCCCATTAAAACGCAAGTTGACCCTTAGAGTGGAACGTACTGTACGTTCATATCAAATGACCTACCAAACAGATTGAAGGGGAAAGCCAATGTCAAATTTGGATTTAGACAAAAATTAGGAACCAACCCATATAAAATTTATGCAACCTATAATACAGTAGGATAACACGGACAGGACCGCAGAGCCACACACCGAACCGCTGGAAGAAGACGCTTCAACGGCTGCTCCACAACCGAGTACTTATACTGAGCGTGAGGAGGACTTCACCTTCACCTCCATACTGCCTTCCTTCCCGGAAGAACAAACAGAATCAGACAATGCCCTATAACCACAGAAACATACACATGGCTTATATAGACTACAGAAAACCATTCGACAGTGTTCCACACAGTTGGCTGCTACATATTCTACGCATGTACAAAATACATCCATCACTTACTGCATTCTTTGGAAACACTATGCAGCACTGGAGAACAACACTACATCTCAGGGTTAGTAACACTTTCATACAAACAAACGAAATATTCATTAGGCGAGGAATCTTTCAAGCAGATTCCTTGAGTCCTCTCTGGTTCTGCCTAGCCCTGAATCCATTATCCAACATGATAAACAACACGCATTATGGCTACAATATCAGACATGAAAAAACAACACAGTTTACACTGTCACATCTCATGTACATGGACGACATAAAACTTTATGCATCCACACAAAAACAACTTCATCAACTCTTACAAATCACANAAGGAAACATATCTCGCCGAGTTTCTTAATGTTCTTCATTCAAGAGTTCTTGCGCGTTTTTCTGTCGTCAGATCCGTTTAAGGTTCCATTACGAAAACTTCGATGTTATTTATTTCTCAGATGTGATTTTTGTTACTCCTTTAGCTGCTTGAGTTTTCTTGATTATACTGTATTTTTCTTAAATACAGTAAAATTGAATTTCGGCCTAACTGTACACCTGTTCGCGCCATACTGCCTAGCAACATTAGGCATCTTCTGTCCACTCTCTATCTTTGTTATTATACTCTCACCTTTCGAAAAGAAAAACAGACGCAAAACTTAACAAGTGCCTACCCGACAGTCTCGTGAATACATAAAAGAATTGTTTTGTCAGAAAAATAAAAGGCTGGTATTACAAGGGAAAGTTTCAAAGTTCGGAAGAATAATACCGATCGGTATAAATCGGCTTAAGCGTAGATGTCGACGCCTCCAGCACTCCGAAATGTTTCGAATTGTTACCTGAGACAAGAAAAAATCAATCGGTATTCATTATTTTACATAGCTTCTTCTTGTATTTATTCTGTGAGGTGTTCGTTATCCGATCATATGTTCGTTGTCCGAACATAAAAATCTTTCTCGAAAGTGTTCGTTATCTGATTTGTTCGTTATCCGATCTGTTCGTTAACCGATTACCACTGTACTTTAATTTTCAGTCAAATCTTCAATTACAAAGTGAAATAAATATAAAACAGTTGTTTTATTACTAAAATTTGTTTAAAACCTTCAAATTCATCAAGTAAATAATTTTCATTCACTTTTTATAAAATAAATATTTATATCTTTTGTGAACATTAAGTTTATATTATCGAGTNTATATGTTATTTTTATGTATGTTTCACTACAAAGCTATATTTAATTATAATTTACTTTAAAAGTATATTCATACAATTGAAAAATGTTTTGTACCGGGTATGTCTATCCACCACACATTTTATTTCACCGAGTAAGTTTTTATAATTTTATTTTTAATTTTAGCCCTTATATCGTGGCTAGCGATCCGGAATGTAATTGCGATATTGAAAATTTATTTTTAAAAAGTTTTGGCTCGAGATCGTATAATGAAAAAGAAAACATTATTAAAAGAGAAAGGCCAATGCCTAAGTTAAATGTAAACGCTTCAATAAAAAAATTTGTTCGA